GGCTTTAGGTTATGCTGGGTTATATCGGCTTTAACAGGGTTATATCGGCTTTATTGTGGCTTAGCGCTTCTTTTTGATTATAATAATAATATATCGGCTTTAACAGGGTTATATCGGCTTTAACAGGGTTGTATTGGGTTATAATCTATGGTGATTTTTGCATGCATAAATAAGGTTACGTTTGATTTCTGGGTAGGTTAAAACAGGATAGGCCTAGTGCTCACCTCAACACCCTGATAATCTCTCAATCGGAAGTGTTGAAACAGTCCCTGGTGGCTGAGTTACTGCTGTGTGCACAACTCTGTAGAGTGAGGCTCCCAGAGTGCATACTGCTGTGTGCACAACTCTATAGTGAGGCTCCCAGAGTCCATACTGCTGTGTGCACAACTCTGTATAGTGAGGCTCCCAGAGTGCATACTGCTGTGTGCACAACTCTGTATAGTGAGGCTCCCAGAGTGCATACTGCTGTGTGCACAACTCTATAGTGAGGCTCCCAGAGTGCATACTGCTGTGTGCACAACTATATAGTGAGGCTCCCAGAGTGCATACTGCTGTGTGCACAACTCTATAGTGAGGCTCCCAGAGTGCATACTGCTGTGTGCACAACTCTATAGTGAGGCTCCCAGAGTGCATACTGCTGTGTGCACAACTCTATAGTGAGGCTCCCCGAGTGCATACTGCTGTGTGCACAACTCTATAGTGAGGCTCCCAGAGTGCATACTGCTGTGTGCACAACTCTATAGTGAGGCTCCCAGAGTGCATACTGCTGTGTGCACAACTCTATAGTGAGGCTCCCAGAGTGCATACTGCTGTGTGCACAACTATATAGTGAGGCTCCCAGAGTGCATACTGCGTGTGCACAACTCTATAGTGAGGCTCCCAGAGTGCATACTGCTGTGTGCACAACTCTATAGTGAGGCTCCCAGAGTGCCTACTGCTGTGTGCACAACTCTATAGTGAGGCTCCCAGAGTGCATACTGCTGTGTGCACAACTCTATAGTGAGGCTCCCAGAGTGCATACTGCTGTGTGCACAACTCTATAGTGAGGCTCCCAGAGTGCATACTGCTGTGTGCACAACTCTATAGTGAGGCTCCCAGAGTGCATACTGCTGTGTGCACAACTCTATAGTGATGCCCCAGAGTGCAAAACTGCTGTGTGCACAACTCTGTATAGAGTGGCTCCCAGAGTGCACACTGCTGTGTGCACAACTCTATAGTGAGGCTCCCAGAGTGCATACTGCTGTGTGCACAACTCTGTATAGTGAGACTCCAAGAGTGCATACTGCTGTGTGCACAACTCTATAGTGAGGCTCCCAGAGTGCATACTGCTGTGTGCACAACTCTGTTTAAATGAGACTCCCAGATGCATACTGCTGTGTGCACAACTCTGTAATGAGGCTCCCAGAGTGCATACTGCTGTGTGCACAACTCTATAATGAGGCTCCCAGAGTGCATACTGCTGTGTGCACAACTATTTATAGTGAGGCTCCCAGAGTGCATACTGCTGTGTGCACAACTCTATAATGAGGCTCCCAGAGTGCATACTGCTGTGTGCACAACTATATAGTGAGGCTCCCAGAGTGCACAATGCTGTGTGCACAACTATACAGTGAGGCTCCCAGAGTGCACACTGCTGTGTGCACAACTATATAGTGAGGCTCCCAGAGTGCATACTGCTGTGTGCACAACTCTGTATAGTGAGACTCCCAGAGTGCATACTGCTGTGTGCACAACTCTATAATGAGGCTCCCAGAGTGCATACTGCTGTGTGCACAACTATATAGTGAGGCTCCCAGAGTGCACAATGCTGTGTGCACAACTATACAGTGAGGCTCCCAGAGTGCACACTGCTGTGTGCACAACTATATAGTGAGGATCCCAGAGTGCACACTGCTGTGTGTACAATTATATAGTGAGGCTCCCAGAGTGCATACTGCTGTGTGCACAACTCTGTATAGTGAGGCTCCCAGAGTGCACACTGCTGTGTGCACAACTATATAGTGAGGCTCCCAGAGTGCACAATGCTGTGTGCACAACTATACACTGAGGCTCCCAGAGTGCACACTGCTGTGTGCACAACTATATAGTGAGGATCCCAGAGTGCACACTGCTGTGTGCACAACTTTATAGTCAGGCTCCCAGAGTGCACACTGTTGTGTGCATAACTATATAGTCAGGCTCCCAGAGTGCACACTGCTGTGTGCACAACTTTATAGTCAGGCTCCCAGAGTGCACAATGCTGTGTGCACAACTATACACTGAGGCTCCCAGAGTGTACACTGCTGTGTGCACAACTCTGTATAGTGAGGCTCCCAGAGTGCACACTGCTGTGTGCACAACTATATAGTGAGGCTCCCAGAGTGCACAATGCTGTGTGCACAACTATACAGTGAGGCTCCCAGAGTGCACACTGCTGTGTGCACAATTATATAGTCAGGCTCCCAGAGTGCACACTGCTGTGTGCACAACTATATAGTCAGGCTCCCAGAGTGCACACTTCTGTGTGCACAACTATATAGTGAGGCTCCCAGAGTGCACACTGCTGTGTGCACAACTATATAGTGAGGCTCCCAGAGTGCACACTGCTGTGTGCACAACTATATAGTCAGGCTCCCAGAGTGCACACTTCTGTGTGCACAACTATATAGTGAGGCTCCCAGAGTGCACACTGCTGTGTGCACAACTATATAGTCAGGCTCCCAGAGTGCACACTTCTGTGTGCACAAGTATATAGTGAGGCTCCCAGAGTGCACACTGCTGTGTGCACAACTATATAGTGAGGCTCCCAGAGAGCACACTGCTGTGTGCACAATTATATAGTCAGGCTCCCAGAGTGCACACTGCTGTGTGCACAACTATATAGTCAGGCTCCCAGAGTGCACACTTCTGTGTGCACAAGTATATAGTGAGGCTCCCAGAGTGCACACTGCTGTGTGCACAACTATATAGTGAGGCTCCCAGAGTGCACACTGCTGTGTGCACAATTATATAGTCAGGCTCCCAGAGTGCACACTGCTGTGTGCACAACTATATAGTCAGGCTCCCAGAGTGCACACTGATGCAGCTTTCTCACTGACCGTGTAAGTAAAAATGCCTGCTTCAGCTGTTGTTGGCCCACCGTATTTCCTTGGCAATATTTGACACTATAAATACGATAAAATACGGTAAATATGATTACCAGTACCCAATAATAAAGAGAAAATACCCAGCATGTGCTAACGATAGCGTAATATACCCTAGCATTATTGCAAAGCGCCATTAATAACGCTACATTGTGACTTGCTCCTTGTGTTACTTAGGGAGGAATTTCGTTTTCTGTCAATATTCCAGTACATTATCCATCTATCATTAATAGTTTGTCTCAAAACGTTATTAATTTACTGTAATTTTGAATCATTGGACTTGTTTTGGTTGCAATGGGTCGGTATCGGACGTAACTGTGAGAGGTACAGCCCACCACACACCCCAAATTTATAGCTCCCGTCACTGACCTTCAGTTTATAGGGCGCAGGCTCGTTTTTTGGAGAATTTTATGGGGAAAATGCGTCTTATAAGCCGCGAAATACGGTATATAAATTTGATCTTTGCTTCGTGTATTTATTGCTTATCTTTCCAGACTGACGATTTTATAATTATGGGTAATTGTGATTAGTCAGGGTAATTAGGCTACCCAGCACTGCTCGGTGGCGGTAATTAGTGGTAATAACGACGTTGTTGAGGCTAATGGAATAGCAGGGGTGACTACGGTGTTACGAGGCTTGTTGTAGGGTACTGCTCGTTAGCGGGGGGGATAACAAAGGCCACTTGACGGGTGAAGTGTATTTTTGTAAGTGTCAAAATAAGTGTTCGCCAACTTTAGTGTGTAAGTGGAAATTACCTCTATCATTCTTCTCCCCTACCTACCCTTTCCCCTACTTTACTCTCCCCTACCTCTCTTCTCCCCTACTTTACTCTCCCCTACCTTTCCTCTCCCCTACTTTACTCTCCCCTACCTCTCTTCTCCCCTACTTTACTCTCCCCTACCTCTCTTCTTCCCTACCTTACTCTCCCCTACCTCTCTTCTCCCCTACCTTACTTCCCTACCTCTTCCCTCCCCTACCCCTCCTCTTCCCCGCCCTTCCCATGTTGGTTCATTTAAAGGGGATGCCTTGATGCCGGTGTAGGGCTCTTGATTCAAGGAATGAGAGCTATCCTCCCCTTCCTTGAACTGAACCTGAATGCGTCTCGTTCTCCAGGTTCTATTTGAACGTCACAATTTACAATCCCTTTCAGAATTAATTGAACCTAGTGTGAACCTCGCTGGTTACAACTATACTGTCAACATTGACGTTAAGGTTCGTCAGTACAGAGGTTCTAGGCCAGTCCATGACGATGTTCTTGCTTCCAACTCATTTCTTCAACATTGCAAGCTCCTGAAGACTTGTTAAATGCAACATGAAAGGCCTAGAGCTATCATTTAACTCCTCCATGGTTGTTTTTGTATCTTGAACTACTTGTTCGCGATTATTGAATATACTCAATGAATTAAACCCTAATTTACAATCGTATATACTCAGGAGTGTAAATTAGTTTACCAAATTTACACGAATATTTCTACTGAGGTGAGTAAAACAAAACAACATATACGAGTATATATTTTTAATTATTCTATTAGGTTTGAAGACTATCTGCCACACAAGAGCCATAGAAGACAGAAGCTGCAGATTAATACAAACTTAGGGTATATACAGAGTTAAACACCACTCAGTGTATATACCCTGGAACTTTAAAAATTAAAACATATACATATACTAATACAGATATATAGAACTGATATATGCAGATTAGTAGTAAATTCAATAACATGCGCTAAACATGCATGGGTCATATATATATATAATATATATATATATATATATATATATATATATATATAAATATATATAATATATATATATATATATATATATATATGTGTGTGTGTGTGTGTGTGTGTGTGTGTGTGTGTGGTGTGTGTGTGTGTGTAATTTAAGCTTGGTTATTTATCTCATTTCTCTCTCTCTCTTACACTCCGTATTTTTATCTTATTCCTTATATTATTGTTACTTATTTTGTGCACCTTTCATTATTTCTTCCTCTGTGTACTCTTTCATGTCTTGTCATTTTTTCTGGTTCATGTTAACACTCTATTCTTTTCTCTCTCCACCTGCTCTTTCCTGCCCTCTTTGAGGCGCTAGAGTGCGTCCCTGTGAGCCATCATTGTCACTTTGACAGGGACGAAGCCTTTTCTGTAGAGATGAGGTGGCGGCTTCGTACTCACCTCTAGTGAGGTGATGACTCTCCTCAGCCACTCTGCTGCAAATACCTGTGAAAGGGTTGGTAGCTTAGTGCTCGTGTATCTGCCATCGCCTGGCCATAAAAGTGTGGAAGAGGGGGAAGTGTGTTTGTAGGAAGGGAGGAGGGAGTCTACCTGCTATCTGGGAAAGATACCTTGATATACTTACCTGGAGTGTACCTGGAGAGGGTTTCAGGGGGTCAGCGCCCCCGCGGCTCGGTCTGAGACCAGGCCTCGTTAACACAATAAATAAAATTGTATAAACCAGGGAACGGGTGGGATTTGGAGCCGTGGCAGTTGAGTCGTAAGACTCCAGGTCAGTGCGTAAGCCTAGTCTACCTGGAGGGTATTCCGGTGATCAACGCCACCGCGGCCCCGGTCCACGACCAGGCCTCCTGGTGGATCAGGGCCTGACCAACCAGGCTGTTACTGCTGGCCGCACATAGTCCAAAGTACGAACCACAACTCGGCTGATTCGGTACTGACTTTAGGTATCTATCCCACTCTCTCGTGGTTAACGAACCGGCCTGGAGTTCCAAGATTCACTCGCCGTGGGTTCAACTCCCACCCGTTCCGTAGTTTGTTTACAATCGTGTCATTACGATTTTGTGAGTCATAAAATAATATACACTAACACCTGCACATAAGAGAATACAGCTTACCACAACGTTTCGGCCCGTCTTTTACCATTAACTAGACACACGTGTGACCAGTTTATGGTCCAGGTCAGACCGAAACGTCAGAACCGAAATGTGCAAGTTCTTTCTGCAGTGTTCCAATCATGGTATTGTGACTTTATTATATTCTTCAACAAAAGCATATGGTTTCTCTTCCTCTTATGAAAGTGGTGAGAATGTAAGTCCCCAGGAGTGATCTGATCCTTCATATTACTCCCTCTTGATCTGCAAAATACATTACTGTATGAAATACAAAATGATAGATTACCAGTTCGCGCATCTTACTCCGATACATCACAATTTTCAATATCTAATAGTTTTTAGTAAATGTGTATTAAAAAAAACATTTGTCTACCAACATGTTTGTGTTTTTTGTCTCAGACATATTAACGGTGACTTTTCTAGGCTTAAGAAGTGATTTTGGTGAGTTATGAGGCAATGGAAGAGGATAAGGATTATGGGAAGGCAAAATAGTGATCTGTTTGTCTCTTAGATTCACATAGAGAGCACTTAAGTATGTGTTATAGGCATTGGTACATGAAGGTAGGCCAAGTGCCCGAAATGCTGTGTATAATAAGGGGGTTTCTATCTAGTAGTATGTCACTGATGTCAGCTATGATCTCTATAACTTGTACATGTACTTGTAGAAATAAAGATTATTATTACTGTTTTGATTATAACAGAACTAGAGTGGCAGTATCAGTCGTTGCAACGAGGAGGAGGTGATGTCAAGTTTGAGAGCCATGTGTGGTGTGAATATTATGCAAAGAATTCGGGGTGTAGAAATTAGAAGAGTGTCGGGGTCACCAAGTTAAACCAATGACTCGTCAACAACACAAGGGGGAGATTAGAAGGTAAGAGGGGTAGATTCTTGGTGTTTGTACTGACCCTTGTAGTCTGGGAGATCCTGATGCGATGGTTGGGGTGAGTTGGACCAGCACTAGCGCCACCTTGCTCCACAATCTGGCCTCCTCAAACACATACTTTCCATAGTCAAGAATCACCGCTGCTATCTCTCTGGCCCTCTCCTCATTGAGGGACCTCCTGAAGGCGTCGAAACCCGCCTGGATCATGGGGCCTAGTCGTGCAACAGCGTCAGAAGTCGTAGTTCCGATGATCAGCTGTAATTGCTGGAGGGCGGGTGGCAAACGTGTGACTGGATCCATAGCAATTTCCCCGGTGGTTTTGAGAGTTTCTTGTATTATGGGAGTGATGCGTGCAACGGCTGCTACATACATGCCACTCACACTGTTCACTGATACCTCTATGGTAGGGGGAATCCTCTGGATGGCATTCTTCAAGGTACTGACTAGTCTCTCTATCGGTGCTTGAACCTCGGGCGGGAGACGGGAGACTGTATCAGTGTAAGCAATTCTCAGTCTCTCGGCTGATGCCTGGATGATGGGAAAGAGGCGGTCGAAGGTATCCCGAGACACACTCCTCACTCTGTCAATAGACGTCTGCAAGAGAGGTGTCAAACCGGCAATAGCATCTGTATACATACTCCTCAGCCTGTCAACAGACGCCTGGATGGCAGGTGTCAAACGGGTGAGGACATCTGTATACACACTTCTCAATCTGTCAACAGACGCCTGGATGGCAGGTGTCAAACGGGTGAGGATATCTGTATACACACTCCTTACTCTCTCCACAAGTGTTGAGTGTCCGTGGGAAAGTTGGCAGCTGCATCCTGCAGGAGTTTCCTGAGGAGATGTCCTTGAGCAGAGCGTTGAGTCGTGTAAAGGTATCCAGCGTGAGCCTGGCTGACTTACGAGTCAGGTCCATGGCCAGGCCCACCTCCTCGCCAGGTCTGGACTCTCGCACCAGTTCCTTGTAAGAATTCATCAACGTCACTCGCCCAAAATCTACCTGTAAGTATATATAGTCACAGGTACACATAAGTACAATTATCATACATAGTAACATGTGTATATTACCTAGGATAACCCCCCCCCACAAAGTCAGACAAAGTGACTTATTTCCATTGGAAAATAAGGAATATCCGCTAGGAATTTTTATTGACCTAAGAAAAGCGTTTGACACAGTAGACCACGGCATCCTACTCCACAAACTTGACCACTATGGTATAAGAGGCCATGCGCTTGCATATTTCAAATCCTACCTTTCTAATAGGTATCAGTATGTCACCATTAAAGACACAGCCTCATCAATACGGCCACTTGATACTGGAGTTCCGCAGGGAAGTGTCCTTGGACCCCTGCTCTTCCTCATTTACATCAATGATCTTCCAAACATATCCCAACACCTGAAACCCATTCTCTTTGCTGACGACACGACTTATGTCATCTCCCACCCTAATCTTGCCACCCTCAACACCATTGTTAACGAGGAGCTGCTCAAAATATCGACTTGGATGACAGCCAATAAAGTTACACTTAACACTGACAAAACCTACTATATTATGTTTGGTAGCAGAGCAGGTGTTGCACAACTTAACATTAAGATCGACAACACTCTAATTGCCAGACATAACGAGGGCAAATTCCTTGGCCTATACCTCGACAACAACCTAAATTTCAGCACCCATATCCAACACATAACAAAAAAAGTATCCAAAACGGTGGGGATCCTCTCGAAGATACCATACTACATGCCGCAAACTGCCCTTCTCACACTATACCATTCACTTATATATCCATACCTCACCTATGCTATCTGTGCTTGGGGTTCAACTGCAGCAACACACCTAAAGCCAATAATAACCCAACAAAAAGCCGCAGTATGAATAATCACTAAATCCCATCCCTGGCAACACCCCCCCCCACTCTTCATAGATTTAAATTTACTCCCTGTTCAGAACATCCACACTTACTACTGTGCAGTCTATATCTGCAGGACCTTAAATTCCAATATTAACCTTGACCTAAAACGCTTTCTTGATAGTTGTGACAGAACCCACAGGCATAACACCAGACACAAACATCTCTATGACATTTCCCGTGTCCGACTAAACCTTTACAAAAATTCAATGTATTTCAAAGGAACTAAAATCTGGAACACACTTCCTGAAAACTCTAGAACTGCAGACACACTCATCACTTTCAAAACTACAGTTAGAAAACATATTATCTCCCTGATACACCCCGACAACTAACTACATGATAACCACCTGGTGGTTCACAATTACACTCACTCACCCACTGACTATAAACACAGAAATACTAATCTTAATCTTAAAATAATGAATCCAACTAGTCATAAGTTTGCCTATGATATCCAATATAACATTTTGTATTGTGCTAAAACAAAGCATTTACATTGCAAAAACTCACAAATTATGATGTAGTCCTTACCCTTTAAATACCAAAATTGTAAGGATTTGTGTTAAGAATTAATCTAAGTTGCCCGAAATGCTAGCCCTTTTAGGGCCCTAGTGGCCCCCTCTGAATTACTTTTTTTTTAAACAGGTAAAACACAATTTCCAAATCCTGAAAAACCCCACATTGAAACCCCCTTATGAGAATAAATTGATTTGTTTTGTTTGGTGGGAAAAATTTTTTGGTCCCAAAATTTCCACAGGACAGATCAGATGGCCGTACGGGAGGGGCTGAGCTGGATGGCCTTATACCCCCCCAAATTGAAAGATTCTCTCTGGTCGGCGATGGATTCTTGGTAGGATGTTTTTAAATTTTAGATTTATTTTCGGGGAAGGGAGTAGGTGTTTATTTTAGATATTAATTTATGTTACAAAGGAACTGTAGTAATAATAATGTAGACCAAAGCCTTTAAAATTAGGTGTAATAGGCCCGAAAAATGTAGGCAAAACTAGGAAAATTAGCTAGGGAGAATGGCAGCCCTAGCTTGAATGACGAGTCGGGGTCCAAAGACGAATGCGTCTTGTTTAAGACAGACACCACCTGGACAACAGTGCCGTGATAGCAGACGGCGCCCCCCACGTGTTTCACATTGAGCCGGGGGAAAATCGGGTGAGGCACCTCGATGTCCCGTAATGCCTCCTCCCGGCCCATACGAAAGGGGAAAAGACCTCCCCCCTTTATCTGTAGATTTCTGGCCGTGTCTTGGGAATTTGAGTGAGTGAGTTTTCTGTGGGCCCGGTTTAAAAACAGGTGGGCTGCCCAGTAAATACCCGGTCTCAGAGCAATTGGAAGTAGTGTCTGGTCTGCATAGTTATACTAGGGGTACTACCCTCTTTGGGTTTTGGAATTTCTGGGTGAGGCAGGCACTAATTACGATTGAATTTGAGGAATTAAAAGGGTCCCAGTTGCACGTGGTTTCTGAGGGGGAAATCCAAAAGGGGGGTAAGGCTAAGCTTTGAGAAGTAAGTCAGGATATTGCTGCAACCCAAGTAGTTAGTCCTTATATGTGTGCGGCGATGTTTTCTTTAAAAACAAACATTTGTGAAATTGTCCCATAAGCCCCTTGTGAGGCTGAGGTCCGACTCAGAGCTCGGTGTCAACAGAGTTTGCTAGGGTAGGCGACTCCTTGGAGGCAGTCCACAAAAAATTTTACAAAATTTGGTGTCCTTTACCTATTACTGGCTCCCCCCTTAAAAATCGGTTTGATTATAACCATTTTTAGAATCATGCTACCTAACCCCCTGTGGTTATTCCCAAGACAATATTTTAAAAGTGATGCATGTTAAGTTAAAAAAGTATTGAGAGGGAAAGGTCCCGGGGGCCGTCTGTCCCCGGGGGGAAATTTTAGCTCCCATCAAAAGAACAGAAAACAAACTCAAAAAACCCAAAAGAAAAAAGGGCCCCATACCTATCTAAGGGATAATCAAACCTTTATTGTGCTTCAAAGTTAAACCAGACGAGCAAAAAAATGCAAGACTGAGACCACCTTTATATTAAAAATTTTTAACAGCATCTGGGGGGAAGGGGACCTGGTTTCGCGTCCCGAAAACCCGTGTAGAGTCGATGCCCATTTACTCGAGGATCATCGATCTTCTGTACTCCAGCGCCAGCCAAGTCTGGTGACAATATATTATATATTAAATTATTCCCCGAAATTTTGTAAATTATGAGATTAACTTGGGGGTAAAAAGGTTATTTAGGGAAGGGGTATGTCTCTCGGTTATATACAGGATTTAATTAAAAATTCTTGAGGGGTGGTTGCCAGCGAATGCACCCTCGTGCGTCGTTGATTTAAACCAATTAACCAGCCCAATAACGTAGGATAAAATCAAAAATAAAGTGAGGGTGGTGATGGGAGGGGAGACTCTGGTTTTGATAGTGACGGGATCTGAGGTGTATAGTTTGGTGTATGGGTGGTGTTGGGTGCTGATGGGAACAAAAAAAGTGGCCAGAAGGTTTGGAATCTTTGATGCACGGAAAGGGGGCCTAGGGTGTCCCATAGAGGCCTAAAAAAAGGGTAGAGGGAAATTTTGAGAGATATTGGTTTTAGGAACCAGCAGACATGTGTGAGCGTACAAGCATTAGATATGAAAACAAACCCTTTGGGACTAAGTCCAACGGGGTACTTCGAATGCCCAAAAGGTGAGCGTAGCGATGGGTTTGGCGGGGATTTGAAGTGTGTTGGAGTGTGAGCTGTGGGTATAAAAGGCCCGTGTTTCCCTCACCTGTGTTAGTTACCTGGGTTGCTGGTCACCCTGGGGGGGGGAAGGTGGGTTTTGACGAGGGCGGGGGCGGTTCAAGAACCCTCCATCCCTTTGAAACCCCCGCACCCCCAATTCTTCCGTCGCGCCCCCACTGTGCAAAACACACACAAAACATTTATTATATATATATATTATATTATATATATATATATATTTATATATATATTTATATATATACAAAACCCCAATGGAGGAGTTGAATGATATCTCTGGGCCTTTCGTGTTGTAATAAAAATTTCATCGGAGCTTGAATGTTCATGAAATTTGGTATGTTCCATGTGTATGTGGCATAATTACGTATGTGTATGTATTTATATATTTTAATCACAAATTTTTTAAAAAAAAATTTGTTAACTTTATATTTTGATGCCCAAATTTTTTGTTATGGGTTTGAAGCCGAGCACAAGAAGCTTTTTTTTATTTCCGAGAAGAACATTTCCAAGTGTCTCAGCAAAAAAATTTCAATCGATCAGAAGAGGCGTTTTGAGCTACTGAATAAAAAATGACATCACGTGAATCTTTGTGGTAAACCCAAAACCACCGTGATAAAATTTTTGAGTTCGATCCCAAGAAACTTTTAAGTTATGGTCGGATTTCACAGTTTCCCGATTTTAAAATTTAATAATAAAAATAATAAAAAATAAAATAATAAAAAATTAATAAAAATTTAAAAATAATAATAATAATAAAAAATTTTTATTTCTAGCGTAAGAAAACTTTACAGACCTTTTGTTGACACCCGAACTACACTATAAAAAAAAGACCCTTTTTATGCTGAGTATTTCCCGCAAATTAGGTCAGTTTTCCCCCGGATGGCCCCCAAACCGTCCACAAAACCCCCCAGGTCCCTACTTACTATGGTGAACAGGGACGCAGGTATAATGTGACAACCCCCATTTACCTCTTATGGAAGCAGGTGTTTTAGAGAAACACGTCCAAATGTTTCCCACCGTCCCAGGGATCGAACCAGGGGGACCTCAGTGTGTGAGTGAGTGCACTACCAGTCGGCTGGGGGAACACCCTTTTAAACTTTTTAAATTATATAGAAAAATTGGGACCCAAAAATTATGAGAAATGTCTGAAGAAACCTCAGTCACGAATTACGGGGAAAAGGGTGCCCCAAAAAGAAAAAAAAAAACACATACATCATTTTTTCAGTCCATCACTGTTTTGCCGGGCCCGTTCTAATCTTCTAAAAAATTACTTTTTTTCTAATTTGAAGCCGGTCTGAAGGGCTTTCTAAAGGTTCAAATAAAAATTTTAGGAAGGGTTGTGTCCTGAGAGAG